CAACCTTCTATCACTACAGCTAGTGAAGGTAAAAGTCCAACCTTCTATCACTACAGCTAGTGAAGGTAAAAGTCCAACCTTCTATCACTACAGCTAGTGAAGGTAAAAGTCCCACCTTCTATCACTACAGCTAGTGAAGGTAAAAGTCCCACCTTCTATCACTACAGCTAGTGAAGGTAAAAGTCCCACCTTCTATCACTACAGCTAGTGAAGGTAAAAGTCCCACCTTCTATCACTACAGCTAGTGAAGGTAAAAGTCCCACCTTCTATCACTACAGCTAGTGAAGGTAAAAGTCTATCACTACAGCTAGTGAAGGTAAAAGTCCCACCTTCTATCACTACAGCTAGTGAAGGTAAAAGTCCCACCTTCTATCACTTACAAATGTATGATTGTACCCTTTCTGTAGCCAATGAAACGTCAGCCTCCAGCATGAGTGGCAGCTATGCTGGTGGGGTGGGTGGAGCCAACACACAGCCAGTCCTGCCAGTTGGAGCACCAGGAAACCCTAACTCCTCCCCCAGACCCAGTATTCTCAGGAAGAGGACCAATGATGGGTCAGTCCTCTTATTGTATTAAAATATTGTATTAAATATCTTTTATTTTTAAGTTGTCACAAGTTATTTTTGCAATACCTTCAAGTTGGTAATCAACAGTGTTTGGGGGAAAACCAATGTAGTACATGTACATTGTACACAAGATACTAAGTGTTTGTTTTCTTTCTTTCTTCTTCCTTCCATGAATCCATCTTCCTCTTTCCTTCCTTCCATCCTCCCATTCAGCCTTCCTTCCTTTGTTTTATCCTTACTTCTTCTGTCCTACCCCATCCTTCTTTCCATCCTCTCATCCATCCTCCTTTCTTCCTTCAATCCCTGTCCTTCCTTCCTTCCTTCTTTCCATCTGTCCTACCTCCCTCCCTCCCTTCCTTCCTTCCTGCCTTCCATCTCTCTATCCTACCTTCCCTTCTTCCTTCCATCTGTCTAACATTCCTTCCTTCCATCGATACTTCAGTCCTACCCTCCATCCATCCATCCTTCCTTCCCTTCTTCCTTGCCTTCCTTTTATCCTTAGATTTTGCAATCTTCGGAAGGTTTTAGGTGGTTTGAAAAGAAAAGTGGTATATGGCATGATTTTTTTTTATAAGTCCGGAATCGGTTCTTGACTTTTAGTTTTTTTTGGGGCTTGAACTAACACATTTTTACAAGACCAGAACCAGTCCAGTGAACCGGTACACAGCACTACAAATCTCCATGATGAAACATTTCTCTGTTTCCCGTCAGCATGCGTAGAACAGCGACTGCCACCACACCGACCAACAGTGATCCTAACAGTCCTCGTGTGGAGGTGGCTCCACCCACAGCTGCCTCACCTCGCCCTGCAGGGTAGGGTTGTTTGTTTGTTTTATTATTTCACACTACTCTTCCTGGAGTCTGTAGCCAATCTCCAGGTACAGTGTAGTAGTATTTGGACCATCTCACACCAGGGCATGTCATTTGTTGTTAAATTATTATGAATATATGTTTAATATATAAATTGTTGACAGACTTTATTTACAATTCTGCTAGAATTGTTTTATCTACATGTATACTAGAATTTTCAACACAATATGAGGCAGGGCTTGGCAATAGATAAACAGTACTATTTGTATGACAAACAGATAATTTATGTTTAATACTAGTATGTAGGACAAAATCATCATTTTTTTGCAGTGATGATTATCTCAAATTCTCAAACTCAAATTGGTTTATTGCACAAAAGCATATTGCAGCCTGACGGCTGAATTGCAGCTCATTTACAATCTGACAATGGAATAATAAACTTTTATTAATTTTTAAAACAAGACTAGTACAATTCTAAGATACTCTAATTGTAGCAGTGTGCAACAAATCTTAAATCACACTTAAAGGTTGTACCGTAGTATTTCAACTATATGTAGTTGTACAAACTTAGTCATCTAATGATAACTTGTAGATGATTTTAAATTGTAATGTAGTTTAAAACTGATTGTTTTTCTTCAGTGAGACAAAGGCGGAGGCACCGTCCAGCCAGGCAGGAGAGGTCGCTATGGCAACAGAAGGAGACTCCACAGTGGTGACCTCTGAAGTCAAGGTCAAAGAAGAACCCATGGAGATACCCCCCCACCCCATCCCTCCCGGGGGTCAGTCAGGTTTCTTATCTTTTTTTTTTTGTAACAAAGTAGTTCAATGCAAGGCCTATGCGACCACTTCTCGGCATTGAACTAGAAATATGAGAGAAACATGGCTATGTTAAGAAATGTCGGTGAACGTTTGATTTGAAAGCCTGTAACTTGTAGGTTGGTGGGAAACACTTGTCAGGGAGGGAATTCCAAAGCTTGGCCGTACGGGGAAAGAAACAGTCACTGTAAAAAGATTTCAGTGAATTTGGACAGTGAAGTTGTGTGAGCTAGTGGAGAATCTAGTGGAACGCTTAAAAGTTCTGAGTGGTGGAACTAGTTGGGTGAGTTCTGCAGAGCAATGACCATGAAAATATCTGTAAAAGAGGAATAGAGAGGCAACATTTCGTCTATAGGAAAGGGGGTCTAATTAACTTGGAGGCCAGAGGATAGCCTATGGCCACGCAAATTCTCTTTTGTATGCGATTGAGAAGGTGCAGGCAATCGATTGGGGCAACAGCCCAGAGGTGTGAACAGTATCTGTCATATATCCTCATGTTTGTTTTAATATGTTAACACAGTTGTTTAAACACAGCCAATGCAATTTTAGAATCAACAAAACTAGATTTTCAAAGTCAATTTTCTGATTATTCTTGTAATGTAGTAAGTTGAGTCAACCCTTAGCATACTGATATCTAAGGTACATGTAGGTTTGGCAACCAGTCCAAAAATTACATTGGATTACTATATAACATTTAAAGTGTATACTGAACCAATCTGTCATCAATGTGATGATCATGAGATTTTGCTGTAAAATGAAGTTCGAATTTTTTTTGTGTGTTTGTACAGCGATGACAGTGAACCAGTTGATAGCCAGTGTGGTTCAGGCTGCGACCACTCCTACTGTAGCTAACACTGCCAGCCTGCCTGCCACACACACCAGTCTTCCACCTGAGGCCTCGCCCAGGAAAAAACCTCGCAAACAGCAGCATGTGTAAGTAGAATTTGGTACTCTCCAAGCAGAGGTTTAACTTTTGGGTTATTTTTGGCGTGTTTTTAGACTTTTTTTACCGGAGTTTCTTTTTTTGCACTGAAATTTTTTTTTCACATAACCCAACCTCTGCCGGCAGTCGAAAGCATCAATGCGCTATAGACCTAATCACTTCAACACATTTCAGTCGTTCTGCAAGGAGGTGTGAACCAGACGCATGAATAGGCACAGTCAGCAGGAGGCGTGTGGCCAAATGAATGCCTTTCTGACTGGCTGGATCAGTGGATGTGTGATAATCCACCACAGTAAAATGGATATCCCTAATGATAATTTGATGGTTCCCGGGGAGGAGCACTGTCACGTTTCTTGAATACATAATGTAGGTTTGCCCCGCCCCGGGGTGAGTGCCGGCAGAGGTTGGGTTGGGTGAAAAAAAATTCCAGTGCAAAAAAGAAACTCTGATAGAAAAGTCTAAAAACATGCCAAAAATAACCCAAAACCTGAACCTCTGCTTTGAGGGTAAGATTTTTGTAGAGTCATGCATACAGTGTATATTGTGTGTATAGTTGGGATTGTAGATTATATAATAGGAACACAGGTCTGTAGGTCCCATTCCACTCTGTGCAGAGCATAGGGGTGTTGCTCATCTCCATTTCTGTAGCCCTTTGATCACACAATTGTGTAATCACTACAGTAGTGGGCTAGCCTGCTGTTACATGTACATGTAGTGCTGTGTGTTTGACCTTCCCATACTCTTTCTCAAAGAGGCTGAGTGCTAAGCAGAGAAAGCAGTAGGTACCATTTTTAAAGTCTTTGCTGTGACCCGGCCGGGATTTGAACTCACGACCTCCCGGTTGCAAAGGAAGCACTCAATTGAGTTAATGCACCAGTACAGCACAGGCCTGTAGTAGATGTAAAAATCTCTACAGGAGATCTGCTACAATAGTGCCCAGTCACATTTGTCATATCACTCTCACAGCAAATTGACAGTGTTTTACCCTATGCTATGATTTTGTCCCCTATGTTTTGTTTCAAACAGTGTAGTGGGATGTTTAAAGTTAAAACTTTTGGTCCAACACAAAACATGCTCTCACCTGGAGCTTTCGACCAGTCACTCTGGTCTTCCTCAGTAGACTGACCCAGTGAGGCTTGTCACATGGCTTCTTTGAAGTGTGACGCCAACACTGGGTCAAAGGTATCTGTTAGACGATGTCGGCCCCGTCGCGGTTCAATGAAGGGTGACTGGTGGAAAGCTCTAGTTGAGAGAATTTTTTGTGTTGGACCAAAAGTTTTAACTTTAAACAAGTAACAACCAACACAGCTGAACTTTCATGATAGTATAAGTAGTGTAGTGGGATTCTGTGTTGTTTTTTTCCTCCTCACACATGATGGTGTTGTTATGTCCAGTGTGGCGACAGAAGACGGCTTTGCAGGGGACGTGGAACTGAAGATGATGGACAACAAGTCAGACTTCCCCCCTCCCACCAAGAAGGAGTCCAGAGACAGGAAAAAAGAACAAGGTGTGTTTGCCTTTAATGTCCCACAGTGTCACACATTCATAACCTTTCCTCAACCTACCAAGGGTGGCTGATGTTTAATACAAGATACAAGAAACAGTCTGAACAGATTTACGCCATGCTGGTGCAGCCAAACGTGGTAATCGGCAGAACATACTGCACCTGCGCGAAACACGTAATATATTGTGCATACCACTTCAGCAAAACGTCTCAAGTAAGGTCATATTCACGCATATAAGGTTAACAATAACAGGCAAAATTCTAATGCAGTGTTGACCAAATATCCAACAAAAAACGTGAAAAATGGGGCTGGGGGTTTGTGCATGCACAGTACGTTCTGCCAACGTGCTTAGCTGACCCTGGTTTGTGGGAATTCATCTAGGAAGCCATAGTCGGTGCCAGGGGCTTTATTGTATAAGAGTACAGAAGAGCTTTCATGCAGTCATAGTCACATTTTTACTTTTTCTCGCCCTGTCGCTTCATACTTTTTCTGAAAAAATCCAAGAATCAACAAATTAAAATGGTGTGGCCTAAAGGTACAAGCAAACCATCTGCCCTGCTAACCCCCCC